TAAGTGGCAGTAAGCCAAAACATTGAAAGGAACGAAAAAAATACTGAGGTGGGAGGCGAAACATCTGATTGGAGGAAGTACAAAAACTGCAGAGATTAGCAAAAACAGGCTAAATTTGGGGATGAATAGGATTTTTAAATAAACATTGACTTGAGAAATTGTCATTCAAAGATGGCAGAAGCATATGATTAAAACTTTGAAAAGAAAAAAAACCACGTCATCTAGGAAATTACATTATAGTGGTGAGCAGAAATTGCTAAACTCTGTGCTTAATTCTTTAGGAAAACAGGTTTCACAGGAAGAAATTGGAGATTGAGAGTAAGCGCCTGCAATGGGCCAGACATTTTACGTATTTTCCCTTTCACGCTTCATGGCATGAACATAAGTAGCGACCGCTGATCATCGATCATTGGTGAATGATAAGTAGTGATCATTGTTATAATCATTTTTCACCTTTGAGGAAACTGAGGCTCAGCACTGGCTATTTGCTCACAGTCACACAGTTAGTAAGTATTTGAAGCTAAAATGAGATGTTTGTCAAATCTGTATTTCAAAACAACAAAACAAACCAAACACCAAAAGCCTAGATCACATGGCTGCTCAAAAGCAGTGAATTCAGAAGAGAGCTGAGGCGGAATGCAGCCATCGGGGTATTTGGCAGATTTGGCCTGAGGAACCACTTCTGCTGGTGGTGAAAATAACACATTGGTGCGCATGAGAGCCAGGCTGCAGGAGGCGAAAGTGGGAGGAGCAAAGACAAAGAGAGGTAGCTGGGCGCAGGCCACCTCCTTAAAAATTTCAGGAGCACCAAAAGCATACTAAATTATCAGTAACTATTTAATATTGAGTTTTCTTAATGCATTGTTGATAATACCTAGAAAGATATGTCAAGTAATGGTTCCAATAAAGAGCATTTCATTCTCTAAAATTCTAGACTTAAAAGATCTAATCTCTCAATTGTCATTTTTAAAATCACTCCCTTATACTGGGTAATTCCCAAGAGTTTTTAAAAAAATCAATGAACTGAAGTAGTGCTTAATTTCCCAGCACATAATTTATTGGACTGTGTCATAAGGGCCTCCCAGTATGCTTTCCTTAAAGTCCTCCTATTAACAATGACAACAGATGACAGCATTGATATTTCCATTCAAGATGCTAATGTATTTTTGAGAGAACCTTTACATTTCGCATGGTGTCTGAAAACAGAAATGGGTCATATAGAAATTTTAAAAAGTGAAGATAAAAAGGAAGGCCTCGTTTATTTGGTTTGGGGGAAATTTTCCCTATTGATTTGGGGGAGGGTTTCCTGCTGACAAATTCCTAGAGTTAACTGAGTCGTTCATAATTTGCTATTAGTACTGACTATGCTGCTGAAGTTGCTGCTAATGAATATTTTATAAAGCAGGAAGAAGATGTTAGGTCTCAGTTTAGATGACTGCCAAAGTCTGAATCTCTCACCTGTATGTTGTAAGCTCAGCAGCCCAGTCCCACTTTTTCATCTCCCTGAGGCTATCTCCACCTGAATGTCCCATTACTAACTTATATTCAACACGTGCAATCTCTAACTTACTAGTGTGTCAGTCCTCGAATTCTTCTGGCCAACTTCCTTATTTCTGCTAACATGATCATTGATCTAGTTGCCCAGGTTCAAACTTTCAAATGCAGTCATAACAGCTACTATTGATTGAGGGCTTCCCATTAGGCATTGTATTGTTAAGAGCTTAGCAAATGCATTTTTGTACTTTCTCAAGCAGAGGCTGTACCCCCACGCCCCTTCCAGACCTCCCTTTGAGTAAGTGTTCTGTCTCATGGGGCTGGCTCTGACAGCATCCACCCCACCACCCTTGCCTCACTCCCAAACCCTGTGAGGTAGGTACCATCATTAACGTTACTTTAAGAGGAGGAAGCTGCAGCTTAGAGAGGTTAGTGATTCATTTAAGATCCCTTAACTAATGACTGGGACAGCAGGATTCAGACCTGAGACTGCAATCATCCAGAGCTCAAAACTGTCAACCACCTTGTAATGTAGTCTTAGAGTCGCCTCTGACTCCTCAACCCCCATGCCTGCTCAAGAAGATTTTGTTCCTACAATGTCCCATCCAGCTGTCTTCTCTTTTCCATTTCTATGAACCACTTAGCTCAGATTCTCATCACCTCCCACTTGCCCTAAGTGGGTGGTCCTTCAGCTCTCTACAGACAGGTTCATCTTAAGGAGTTACTTCATGTGTACTATCAGCCGCATGACAAGCGTGCCTTCGATGACTACCCATGGTCTGAGTGCCGTTTTCTTACCCAGACATTCAGGCCACCTTCTGTGCTTAGTTCTGACCACTTATCTTCATGAACGCGGCGTCCCACCCAGTCTAGACATCTTCCTGTACTCTGAACTCCTCTGTCTGTTGAAATTCTCCTTTCACCTTCATAGTTTAGATAAGTGCTACTTCTTTCAAGGAAGCCTTCCCTGATTCCCTTAATCAGACAAAGATATCCTGGACTTCTCTTATGAAAACCTATTCTAGCCTGTACTTTGGTCACTTGTGTAGCATAGTGCAATCAATGATTCTTGATTGAAAAGTTAAAATGTATTAAATTTTATGTTAGGTGCTGTCAGGATACATGGTCCATGTATTCAAGGTGTTTTCAATCTGGTAAAGGAAATAAAACTATTATTCAATAGTTAGCTAGAGAACAACCAGGAGCTCAACTATGAGACTGATGAAAGAAGAGAGAGAACAGGAGGGCAGGAATGGGTAGAGAACGATTAAGAGAAAAGATGAGACCTGTGTTTAATGCTGAAAAGTGAAGAAAGTTGCGGTAAGTAGAAGGGAAAATCATGAGTGAAGGCCGAGATGGGCATGGCAGGTCTGGGGGAAGGATAGTACTTTAGGATAGTACATCTATTGAGAAGGAAAAACACCAGGAAAATCCAGGGTGTTTCAAAGTAAAACAATTCCCTCAAATTTACAGGTCATTTAAAAAAAATGTTAAATTTTAAAAATGGATATATAATCAACATAACATTGTATAAGTATAAGATATACAACATGTTGATTTGACACTTTTATATCATACTGCTATGTAATTGCTAGAATTCATCATTGACAATCTGAATTACAGGACATGGCAATGTGCTGACACACTGCTTCCTTTTTGCTTTTTAACAGCCATCATGTTTTAAGATTTGATTTCTAACACAGCGTGGGACAGACAGTAAGAAGATCTCCTGGATGAGATTTTAGAACTCTAAACAAAAAGCCATTTTTCTAATGGACTTTCTTCTTACTACAGAATTTTCTTCACTCGGAGTTATTCATGCCAAATTGCCCCTGCTATTGTTCTAAGATGGGAGATGTTCACGAATGTGTAATGAAACTATGAAGCTCATTTACTTACTGTATTTATGATATTATCCAGACTCAAAATTGGTCTGTGGAGATTGACAAATATTGGTTGTGATAAATTATTACACAGACATATTCCCACTAAGGCACTAACAGAAAAAAACAATGAAAACTGGCTAATTCATTTTGAAAAACTACCTTAAAAGCTAGAACAAACAGAAAGAAAGAAACTTAAAAAGTATACTTTTTTTTTCTACACGTCATTTTGAGGAAAAATAAGACATCGATACATTTTAAAACTATAAAGCATTGACTGTTTTCCCACTTGTTAAATTTTTTTTTGGTATGGATTACACATCATTTATTCCTTAGGAATATAGCATTGCTAATTTCCTCCATATGTGTACAATTTGTCTTTGACCTTTAACAAATGTCCTCTAGGCAGTCCACTTACTATCCAAGAACAATGCCACAGCATCATTTTACATACACATAAAGGGCTGAAAGCTCCATAAAAATAAATGATCCATGGTGCAAGCTACATTAACCAGCTGAATAATAAGCTATTTCAGCACTGTAAATTTTAGTGCCATCCATTCAAAACTGCACTGGGTCACTTTAGTATTAAATTCAGAGGAAGAAAATAGTAAATACACGTTTTATTTGTTAAGCTGCCAGCTATATATTTTATGTAAAAATTTGTTAGCCTAGGAAAACCTATTCAAAATCACATCAGTCAAGTGTATATTTAAAAGCATTGTCTCTTTCTAAGACATGATTTTATGTGTTACTGATACACTTACTATTAAGCATCATGTATATTTAATATCACAGCGTTTACTTCAGTGCCCTAAAAAGCTTTTGTTCACTTTATAGGTTCTATTATTGCAGAGCCAACATTCAGGTCTCCCACAATTTTGTAAAATGCAGGCAACCCACAACAGCTTCTAGTTTTAGCTAGAAGCCCTGTGGGACTATGATAATTGTTATGAAATCATTAATTCTACCTCAGCAGTTTCAACTGTCAGGTACATGTAACAATAATTGTAGTTAATGAATGCTGCTCAATTTATTAAGTACAAAATGAAAGCCAGTATTTTTTAATATGCAGCACTGAGACATATTAACATTTACCATTTGTGTATACCATTATTGGTCAAGGTATACAGCAATTTTTTTAAACTTTTCTTTATTAAAAACAATGCAGGAAATTCTAACTCTCTAATTACAGAGTAATTAAAATAATTAGTACCAAAAGTAATATTTAATAAAATTCTATGTCTATGAACAAAAAATCCAACAGAACCAAGACTTAGCTCCTTGGAATAAACAGGATTCTATCTTATGCCTCCCTTCTCTCCCTCAATCTTTACAAGAGTATGAAAAAGTCCCCAAACTTCCAGTTGTTTAAATATTAATGTTGTTTCCTTCTCAAGCTTTGGGGCAGTAAAACTTTTGCATAGAGAGATACAGCCTATTTCTTGATTCAAAAACAGTAAGTACTAGATTTCTTATTTTCAATCACTCGAAGTAAACTGCATAGACATTTGCAAGAGCAAAGAGTGAAGAATTTCTGAAAACATAAGATGAGAAGGTATCACTTTTGGGATTCCAGAGGCATCTACTTCCAATAAGCACACTCTGATTATTCAGTTGTCCAATGTGAACGATAACAATTATCTTATACCGTGGAATCATCAGGTCCTTGACCTGTGCTTTAATAACCTAGAAATTAAAAGGAAAAAAAAAGGTTCCCACTTAGCCACACTGAAACTTAAGAGTCTTAATGTTTGTTACAAATATAGTGGGTTTTATTTAAGAAAATAGCATGTTGAATTGTAGATACTTTCAGTAATTGTTGTAGAACCATAACTATAATATGATTTCCTCCAAGCACTGTCCTCATGAGATAGTCATTTAAAGACCAAATGATAGCACCAGCAATAAATCTACATTTTCTAAAGCACATGGAATAGCTGTAATAAAGAAAACAGAATTTAATGGATGTATTACATTCTTTGAAAATCTATGTTAAGATGGCTTCCCTTCAAAGAATGTTGGCATTAGAGCTATACTATCTTGTTCATGTCTAATTAAGGGACCATACATCTGGAGTCTTTTGTAATATGACTAATCATGAATGTTTAGTAAAGACTTTGTTATAAAAAAGAAAGTACAGAATACCTGATGGAGTGCCAGTACTTTAGCTGATAAAAATAGAAATGTATTTAAATGTATTTAAAGACCACAATGTCTGTATTTGATGGCAGTTGAAGCTGCCTTGGGAAAGAGAAAATGATCATTAAAATGTTTTATCTTTTTCAATAATTTTTTTTAAATAAATGGGGCGGTTTTATACATTTTTAAAACAAAATACATGCAAATTATGCACATAATGACTGTTTTAGACAAAGGCATTTTACACACACACACATGCACACACACACACACACACACAGAATAGGACCTAATAAATATTTTAATAAAATAAAATATAAATAAGCATTTTTACTGCTACTGAAAATTAACTGCCTTCATAAAAAATTAGGGGGTTGAGCTTTCAGCAAATATTCTAGTTATAGTTAACACTTTGGGCAAATCACACATTACCTCAGAAATCGTTTTAGTCATCTGTCTACAGAGCTCTGGTTCATATTGTTCTTCTTGTAGATAGTTAGTTAACACATCTTTCAAAATATGATTGACAGTGACCACAGGAAAATGTTTGGCAGGACCTGAAAATATAGACAAATTTCTTTCTAAGAAATCATTTCAAATCATATCCTCCCACCCTATAGGTTAATCAAAAGTACTGAAACATGGAGAGACACTTAATCTCCCAGGTAGCCTCTATTTAAGGGGAAAAGTAGTCCTAATTAGGCTTCCGGTCAGGTTCTCTGGCAGAGGATGAGAAGACAATGGACTCATCCATTTACCAGACTACCTACAGAGTGTGTTCAATACCACTGAGGTTTGACATTGAATACATCCTCCTTCCCACTATTAATGACTTACTTGAAAGTTTCCACGTCTTTCTTATGGCTCCCTAACTCTTATGTCTCCCCCTCCAATCTATCTCCCACACCGCAACTGGAGGGATCTCTCTAAAACTCAGATGTTACCGGGCCGTGCTACTTCCCTTAGCAAGGTCTAACGTTCAGCTCCTACCAACCTATAGCCTCTTCTCCCACCATCACAGTTCTCTACATGGATGCTGTTCCATCTTATGGAATTCATCTGTCTTTTAAAGTATGCTCGTACATTTGCACTTGCTCTTCTTTTTAAATGGAACACCCTCCCCCATCTTGTTCATCTGAGAAATATCCACTCATGTTTCAAGGCCAGCTCAAACATCTTCTTCTCCAGGTAGCCTTCCTCTTCTCCTCAGGTACAAATCATCCCTCTCTTCTCTGTACTCCCAAAGCATTAGGACCCCACCACTATCCTGGTTCCTAATCCACCTAATAGCTGAGGCATACCTGCCTCTCTCCCCAGTGAAATGTGATGCTAGATCAGGTTGTCACCTCTTCAGAGTCTAATACAATGTTAAAGGCATAAGAAACATTTAATGTATGATTTCTGAATTCAAATAGAATTAAGCATTTACAGATAATCATAGTACAGATCATGGCTACTTTTATTGAGTGTTTTCTACGTATCAGGCACTGGGATGAGCATTTTTTTTATTACCTTCTATAATCTTCCAATAAATCTCTAGGGTGAATCTGATTCATATTCTTTCATCATGCAGAGCCCAAAGTCATAGGTATCGAGCAGCTAAGATCGTTTAGTTATAAGTGGGGAAAACCCTGACCCAAAATTAGCTTGCCTAACTGAAAAGTCTAAGAGTACTTTGGATTTAGGACTCAACAGATGACATTAGGATTTATTGGGTTGTCAGAAAAGTCATGATGCATTTTTGCAACGAAAACCATAGAAAAAAATACGTCATGACTTTTCCGACGACCCAATAGTTCTCTATCGGTCTCAGGGTTCATGTGAGGGCAAGATGGCAAAAGCTGCCATTAGCCCCTAAACTCTTTCAGGGTTCAGGGTGTGATCCTGCTTCTTCAACAGCTCAAACAACAGTTTTTGAATTGAATATCAAGGCTTTCATTGGCTTGACCAATCATAGCATTTTATGCCATTGCAGAATCAGTCACAGTTACATCTCTGAAGCTAGTATCAGCTTCAGCAGAATGTTGTAGACACAAATTGGCAAAGAAAGCAGTGGTGGGGCTTCCCAAAGGAAACTGGGTAAGGTTACCAGAAGAAGTATAAAAGTATATTGGATGGCAGGAATATTAGCTGTCTACCACAGCATGCACTGTGAAAATACAAGTAGACTCTCTAATTATGGAGCCTTGTAATCCATGCAGTCTTGGGGATTACTGTAGAAAACGCTACAAGGCCTAATGGGATATTCTGATGGTCTATAATTTTCTTGAGGTTAACTAGCACAGATGGAACCACTCTGGCCCATAGAGTCTTCCTTTGGTCATTGGTAAGTCTCTGTGGAATTTCTATACAGCAATAATTATATATGGATCCAGATAATAGTGGGCAGGTACACATTTAGAGAAAACAAGTAGGTCTATGAGGAAACATGAATGGGAAAAGATATTCACTGTGGACTCCTCCTGGGAGTATAGGGACAGGTGCAAAGATCTTTGCTTTCAAATATTGAAAACCTCAGTGTAAAGAAAAAACATCTCTGTCAACAGGGGACCAGAAATCATTTGCTTTGCCTTGAAGTCTTTTTTCTCCATGTTTCAACAGCCTGGGTGGGTTTTGTTGGATAAAATTGTAATGCATATCTCTTCCATTTAACTCAAGTACAGTAAAACCTTGGATTGCGACTAACTTGGTTTGCGAGTGTTCTGCAAGATAAGCAAACATTTCTAATACATTTTAACATGGTAAATGAGCGATGTCTTGCAATACGAGTAGTTTGTTTCCGGAACGAATTATGCTCGCAAACCAAGGTATATTTAAAATAACTCAAGATCACCCAAAAATGCTCAATGAACTTTTTTTTACATTCTATATTATTTCATCTTAATTTCAGGTGTACAGCATAGTGTTTGGACATTTATATAATTTAAGAAATAATCCCTCTGACTAGTCTAGTATGCCCCTGGCACTCTACATAGTTATTGCCATACACTGACTATATTCCCTATGCTTTACTTTACATCCCCATTACTATTTTGTAACTACTAATTTGTACTTTTAATCCCTTCACTTGTTTTACCCTGACCCACCCCCCGCCATCTATCACCCCAACAAATCTAGTACCCATCTGACACCATAATACATAGTTATTACAAGATTATTGACTTATATATTCCTTATGCTATACCCTACATCCTCATGACTACTGTGTAACAACCAATTTGTACCTCTTAATCCCTTCCCTCTTTTTACCCACACTCCCAATCCCCCTTCCATCTGGCAACCATAAAAATGTCTGTATCTATGAGTTTGTTCCTGTTTTATTTATTTTGTTCTTTAGATTCCACATATAAGCACAATTACATTGCGTCTTTCTCTGTCTGACATACTGCACTCAGCACAATACCCTCCAGGTCAATCCATATCACTGCAGATGGCAAGGACCCATTCATTCCCTTCCATGGCTGAGCAATATTTCATTGTATATATGCACCACCTCCTCTTTATCCATTTTTCCGTTGATAGACACCCTGGCTGCCTCCACATCTTGGCCACTGTAAACAATGCTGTGATGAATTTATGGATGCACACGACCCCTCAAAGTAGCATTTTGTTTTTTTTCAGATAAATACTCAGAAGTGGGATTATTGAGTCACTGTCTCTTATTATAGCCTTTGTTTTAAAGCAGTGGTTCTCAACCTTCCTAATGCCATGACACCTTAATACAGTTCCTCATGCTGTGGTGACCCCAAACCATAAAATTATTTTCATTGCTACTCTATAACTGTAATTTTGCTACTGTTATGAATTGTAATGTAAGTATCTTTTTGTTTTCCAATGGTCTTAGGCAACCCCTGTGAAAGGGTCGGTCGACCCCCAAAGGGGTCACTACCCACAGGTTGAGAACTGCTGTTAAAGCCTATTTTATCTGCTTTAAGTATTGCTGCCCCACCTTTTTTTTTGTTTTTGCTTGTTTCCATTTTCATGAAATATCTTTATCGGTCCTTTTACTTTCCATCTATGTGTGTCTTTCAATCTGAAGTGATTCTCTTATAAGCAGCATATGTAAGGTTTTTGTTTTCTTATCCATTCAGCCCTCATGTGTTTTTTTATTGGAGGGTTTAATCTATTTACATTTAAAGTAATTGTTGATAGATGTGTAGCTATTGCCATTTTATTATTCATAATTTTGATTTATTTTTTCCATCTTAAAGAAGTCCCTCTAACATTCCATGTAATACTGGTTTGGTGGTGATAAACTCCTTTAGCTTTTTCTTGTCTGGGAAGCTCTTGATTTATCCTTTGATTTTAAATTATAGCCTTGTGTGTAGAGTAGTCTTGGTTATAGGTCCTTGCTTTTCCTCACATTGAATACTTTTTTCCAATCCTTTCTGGCCTGCGAAGTTTCTGTTGAGAAATCAGCTGACAACTTTATGGGAGGTCCCTTATAAGTTACTTGTATTTTTCACTTCTGACTGGTTCTTTTTTACATTTTCTATGTCCTTTTTTATGCTTTCTATTTCTCTGTTGAAGTGCTCACTAAATTCCTTGAGCATCCTTATAACCATTGTTTTGAATTCTGTTTCTGGTAGTTTACAAGCCTCAATTTCATTTAGTTCTTTTTCTGGATTTTTCTCCTGTTCTTTCATTTGGGATATATTTCTTTGTTTCCTAATTTGGCTACCTCTCTGTTTGTTTCTATGTATTAGGTAGGGCTGCTATGTCTCCCAGTCTTGACCAGGAGGCCTTATGTAGTAGGTGCCCTGTGGGGCCCAGTGGCACAGTCTCCCTGGTCACCGGCTCTGGGTGCTCCAGGAGTGTCCCTTGTGTGTGCCCTCCTGTTATAGCTGAGCCTTGATTGCTATTGGCATATCAGTGGGTGGGATTGACCCTTAGGCTGACTGACTGTGGGGTTTGGCCACATCCAGAGCTTACAGGCTGTTGTGCAGAGGAATTACCCCACTGAGTGGGATTCATCCCTGTAGGCTCTGGTGTCTACTGAGACTGTCCTTTGGGTGTGCCACTTGTGGGGCTAATTGGATGGCGCTGTGCTGTAGTCTGAAGCCACCCTCCAACTATGTTCATTCTGGGGCCTCTTGGGAGGGGCTCTGGTACAGGCCCAGGTCACCCACTGCCTGTGACCAGCTGGAAACTACCTGGTAGGATAGGAGGTAGGAGCTACACAGTGGTAGGAGCTACACAGTGGTCCATGGTTGTTCACTGCCTGTGCTAAACCTAGAGGCATGTGGGAGAGGCCCTGCTGTGAACTAAGGATGGCTGCCACCAGTACCAGGCCTGGGGTAGCTCCTCGAAAAGCCAGGACACCCTGAGACTTGCTGCCACCTGCTGGCTCTCTTAAGGTTTAGCTACTGATAAAGTGGTATGTGAGTTGGGTGAGGAAAGGTCTCAGGGAGTCACTAGAGTGGGAAGAGTTGTGGTCATCAGGTTAACATAGACTCTGGTTTCATGCCAGTGCTGAGCCTGGAGCTATTCAGCAAAAGTCTCAGAGCATGCCAAGGCCAGTTTTCGCCTGCCTGGGACTGGTGAATTCTGGTAAGTTTTCCAAGAAAGAGTGCAATGTGGGAGGGGCTACCTGCTCATAGGGAAAGCGCCTCTGGCATTGGGGGAGTTAGGTAGGGCAGGTTCTCAGTGAGTCAGCAGGGTGCAGCAGTGGCGCTCACCAGACCAATCAGATTCAGATTTGGCCCATGTGGGGGTGGGCTCAACACAGGAAAGATGGTGCCCACTTGCTGGCTGCATGGCAGCAGGCCCTCTCACAGAGAAAATGGCAACTGTCCTCCAGCCCTCGCTCCGATGCCCCCTGAGTTACTGTCCCTCTACTGGAGCCCAAGGTGAGTGCCTGCGAGTGAAAGAGTCTGTGCACAGGTCATTTAAGAGAATGTCTAGGTTTCCCGCAGCCTTCCATCCCACCCAGATGGTCAGAATCCCCATATTTTTCACAGACAGATGTTTTGAGGGCCTCTCTTCCCAGTATCAGTATTCTGGGCTGGTGAGGCCGGTGTGGGGCTGGGGTCCCTCGCTCCTCTGGAGGGCACCTCCATGGCTGAGATAGCTCTCCTGGTTCTCAACCACCACAGAGATTTGGGGCCAGGTCTCCACTCCTCCTACCAGTGTTGATGTGGCTTATTTCTAATATCCTTAGTTCTAAAACTTCTGTTCAGCCAGACTTCAGATGGTTCTCTAGGTTGATTGCTCTATAATTTAGTTGTAATTTTAATGTGTTCTGGGAAGGAAGCAGACACGGTGTTTATCTACTCCGCCATCTTGAATCTCTTTCCTCATCAACAAACATCTTAATTCAGTAACACGCAATACACATCAGTGCCACCCAGTGAATTGTTGGTATTTAGTAAGCACTGATAAGAAAAGTAGACTATAGATGTTCTTCTCATTTTGCAGAGGAAGAAATTAAAGCAGCATCACATCACTCAGTTAATTAAGATCCCATATATTGTGTTAGCAATGAAATAATGCCAGGGTATCAGATATTATTTTAAGTAAATATCACTCATGAAAATTAGAAGTTTAAAATAGAAGTGATGAAATAACACACCTAACTGATAAGTGTTTTCCACCTGAACTGTAAGGCGAGAGGTATCATCACGCTGGCTAGGTACATCCATATGAGACACAGTACTCACACAGCTGAAAGCAAGGCAGAAAAACAAATTTCAATGGTTGTTATAATAATAACAAAGCACAATGTTGCCTTCGGCAAAAATGTTACCAAAGTACAATTTCCTCTAAGAAAATTTCAAGCAAGTCCCATGTAAATAACCCAATGACATATTTATAATCTATAACATTTGAAAGATGGAAACATTAAGGTATAAGAAGCTACTTGGAGCAGGTTTCAGTATAGTGGCTGAAGCCCATTGCAGTGCTAGGGGCATCTGATTATCAAGAAAGTGTTCATGGGTTGGTCTGAGGGGTAACAGAATACATATCTCAAACATCTGTTGCCAATCGCGTTTCTACCACAGATGCAAAAGCTTTCCTCTAAGCAGACAAAGCTCACAAAAAGGGCTGGGGAATACATGAGAAAGCTTAAAATGTTAGGAAACAACTCTCCATATTCATAGGGGTTATAAAGAGTTTACTATTATATGTACCTCACAAACCCTTTTAGTAGAGCAAAGAAAAATGAAACTAATCTACATGATGAGAGAATCCACAATTCACCCAAAGTATCGTAAATCAATAAACATCAATCACTCTTTTCAACATTAAGAAAGGGCTTCGGCTTGGTAACCAAGGCAATATTAGCTTCTCCAGGTGCTGAACAGGAGACCCAAGCCAAGAGGGGGTCCTAACGTCTCTCTAGCACTACTTAATTCAACTTAATTCAGAGGAAATTCAACTGTCACTAATGGTAGTCTCACAACTTGATACCCCAATTCTCTACACCTGTGAAAATGGAGGTTAAGCCAGATGTCATTTCAAAGGAAATGATATAATAGTGTGTGTGTGTGTGTGTGTGTGTGTGTGTGTGTGTATGTTTTCATTTTCAGAGTGACCACTTTTATAAGCAGGCTATGGTTTTGCTTTAATTCAATGAGAAAGAGATATTTTTCCTTAACCTTTGGGATTTTTTTTCTCTGCAATGAGTTTAAAATGCTTAGTTTTCAGCTGTTTAGGATTAGTGAGCTTCTTGTAAAGTGGTATTTTAAGAAAACCATGGATGCTCTATTTTTAAAGATCATTTAATACAATTTACACAATAAATTAGGGTTTACCCACCCAACCCAAGAAGGTGATGCAAGAAAGTATGGCTGCTTTTTTCACAATGGATTTCTGGATTAGTGATTTAGACTTCATTCTTGTAACACCTGCTTTCCTCAATTTTCTGCTGCCCTTTGAAGCAGCATCCAACTTGTTTGGCCACATAGGTTGCAGGTGTTGTAGGCAGTACCAAAGACAATAGCTTCAGCTTAAAAAAAACCAACGTTGCATAAGCCCCTTGATTCTAAGATAAGCCAGCCTGTGCCAATATTATAAATGCTACCTTTAACTTTGCAAAACATTTCCTATCAATGATGTCATCTTACCTTCACAATATTCTTTTCGGTAAGTAAAAGTCATTATTCTACCCATTTCAGAGATATAGGGAATGAAGCAAAGAACTTGCTGTCATACATATAGGAATGACGGTCTTAGATTTCAAATATCTTATTTACTTCTCAGTGACAAAGTCTCACATATAATCATATCTGAAAGAATGAAAATAAGGGCAATGGCTACCTGAAAAAATTAATTACTGCAATTAAAACTTGGTTGCACGAACATAAGGAAGTATTAATAAAAACCCTATTTCTTTTCTACTGAACACCATATTAAAAACTCACAGAAAAAAAGAAATAGAGTTGGTATAAAACTCAAATTAGCAGGAGTTAAGAGTCTAAGACAAAAAAGCAAATAAGGATTTTTACAAGCAGTCCTCATTATTTCCTTGTTATTACCATGTTACTAAAAAATTGATATTCAATGCAGTTTATAATATTATCATTATGAAACTGGTGTCACAAGGGCAGCTTAAAAACGCCAGTGGCTGAAGGGTGGTGTACAAATAGAAAATTTTGCAGTGACTTTTTTGATTTACTGAAGAGATTTCGTTCAGTGTCTTTTTTTTCCCCACAGTAATCATGTAAAAAATGTATTTACTGTAAAATGTTCAAAACACATGGAAAAGTATAAAAAACAAGGTATAATTACACAGAAAATTACTAACCCTGGTTAGTAATTTTTACTAAATTATTTTTTAGTAAAAAATAACATTTTTAGTAAAAAAATTTTACTAAATTATTATTTATGTTAGTAATTGTTAACATTAAAAAAATATATTCTCAGACATAATTTTACATATGGGATCACATTATAAATGCTGGGGTTTTTTGCACTCAGAAACGTATCATGGGTAACTTTCTATGTCTAAAATAGTAATCTACATCAACATTTTAAATATCAAGACAGTATTTAATATATGAACATATTGCATTTTATTTATCCATTTATTCTTCAGGCCATTTAGGTTTTCTCCATTCTTCCACCTATTACTAAGAACACTATAATGATCATTGTGGTAGGGACTAGATCTGCTTTCCAGTTTTGTTCTTTCCCTCTTCCTTGGTAACAGAACCTTAAGTTTTTGGGAATATTTCTCTCCAATTTAAAGACAAATTCTTGGATTCTTTTGGTGCTATTGGGGCCATTTGGCTTGTGAACTTGTGAGATGTAAGTGGAAATTTTGGGTGGAAATTCTAAGAGAGCTTTCTTAAAAGAAATAATTCAACCAAGTAGAGCCTGTTTATGCCCTCCTTGATGACTGGAATGTGGATATGATGGCAAGAGCTCAGCAGCTATCTTGGGTCGTGAGGTGATCTTATGGATAACAGATCAGAAAGATAGACAGATAGGTCTCTGAACTGCTTCCTCCCAACTGCTTATGTAACAGAAAATATATTTCTGTTTTGTTTAAGCCACTGTTTTTTTAAAAAATTATTATTATATGAAGCATTAGCTATAACTGATATAAAGTCTAACTGATACAGAGTTTGCTTCTTGAAAGTGAGAAGCTGCAAGTTAATTGAGCACAAAACTTGTAGCTACAATAGTTTTGTGGAGGAGATGGAGCTTTGGGGAGTGAGGTTTCAGATACTTTGCCGGGAATCTGGAACCCCTTATCATGCAGGTGGAAAATATTTGGCTAGTGTATTGATTTCTGTACCATGGAAGCCTAGCTATGTATAAACCAAAACTATAAATTCATGAAAAATTATGGGAAAATTATGCTTAAAAAAACAGTTTATGGTATTTTTTGAAACTGAAATTTGATAGTTCCAACACTAGAATGAGGTGGGTTGAAAAAAAGGGAGAGAGAAGAGTAAAGAAAAGGATAAGATAAACAGAAAAGATAAGGTACTTATTCATTGAAAAAAGACAAAAGGAAGACATAAAATATCAAAAAATATGCTTGTATTCTGGGCAAGTAACATTAAACCAGAATATTAACTCGGTAAATTTTTAGAAATAAAAGAGATCCTATATTTGAAAATTGGGGATTACCAATATCAGTTCAAAATACTCACTTAGAAAAACTTATACATATTTTCCATTGATAAACAGCTTTACTCAAGCCCTTGGAAATTTTTAAAGACAAAAATGTGAGGTGCTCAAAGGGAAAATTTATTTTAATTACCAGTTCTGTATACACACACAGCACAATAAATTTATTTGATATATGTCACAATATTGCAAGTGGATGAATTTCAATTGTCTGTAACCAGGCTTTTCCTAGTTTATAATACTAACTCTTCTAGATACATGATCTCATTGCAAAGAGAATGCTGTAGTTGATTTATTTTTTAAATGTGAAACATGTTCTTGCTGTCGATGTGTTTGCTCATCAGCTTCTTGGCATTCGTGGAGAAAAAAATTTCAATTGGCGAAATGTATACAAGAGAGTTGTAAAAATGTAAGAAGGGAAGTATGAGTAGATTAAAAGTAAATGCAGGAAAATGGAAAATCTGGTATAAACAACTGGCAAAAACACTGAACAAATCAACTCATATTGTTATAGAGAAATAAGTAACAATTTTTAATCTGATGCAAATTTCAGTTAACACTTGGAATCATATGTACTATTGCTGAGGATGGACTTGGAATTAACCTGGGTGAAGAAACAGCTGCATAAAATTGGTCCCCCAATAGCAAAAGTGACCCTTCTATACTGTACCCAATTAACACTGGAAATGTCCCATGCTAATCCAACAGCCAGAGTTCTGATTATGCAGAAAAGAGCCAAAAAATAAAAAATGAATAGCTAAGAAGTTTGAATATATTTGAAAGAATATTTATTCTTTCTTGAAAACGTCTTACAAATTTGCTTGCTGACAATTTCTACACAGAATAAATACAAGGCATATCTTATTGTTATGACTGTTAGGGATAAAAACAATAATTTCAATTAAATCTCACCAGCCACAATACCATCTAATTGTCATTGCAAATTCATTTTTAGACATTTTCACTGCCATTATTAGATGTTTTTAAGCTTCAGTTAGAGATAATATTTGAATGCATAACCAGCCATTAATTTAATAAATTAAGAAGGTCAGAATAGCATCTATTTTTTCTGTTACTGTGAAATGCTTGGAACTACCATATTTTGAATGGTATCATTTAAGCATAAGTTCTCCAGCCCTTAATCTGTTATTAAAGTTATATGCTGCCTCCCAGTGGAGATATTTCAGAGTGCACAGAGAAAAGAAGGCTTCAGGGTATAAAATTTGCACATTTTTTGTTTGTTTTTTTCTGCATTCTTTCTGCAAATCTTTATTGCCCACAATGTGGCAGGCAAAGAGGAAAGTATTGGTAATACAAAGAAAAATTAGAGTCGCTGTGTTCCAGAAACAAGATGTAGAAAACAAGATAAAATATGCATAAAAACTCATTTGGGAACTTTCCACCTCAAAAATTCTAGATGTTTTTACATATGTTAGGCTTAAAACCAAAAGCATACCAACTCTTCCCCTATCACTAGAAGGTGAAAGTTGTCTGGTAAGGTAATTTAGTTTTGTGACCATTTAGTTTATAGCAAGGTTGCTGGAATTATATGTAGTTTTGAGATATTTCATTTGCATCATTAG